GGGGGGGAGCAGTGAGAACGGAAGCGGATTCGGGCCATCGGCAAATAAACAGAGGGAGCGGCGGCGGCGGCGGAGTTCAGTACGCGTCTCGACTGCTCTCTTGGGCCGCATCTTTGTGTCGCCACAGTATATAGTTATGTGTACTGTAGAACAGTCCTTTACAAATCAAGACTATAAAAGAACGTTGCTGTTCCATAACGAAACGTGAATAGAAAATATTTAATGGCCTCTTTCTTCAACCTTGCTCTGTCATGACTTCGCTGAGTTGTAAGCAATGACGCACTAAGTAGAATTCAGTCGTTACGGACAGTAGGCGTAGTCAGAATAGGCGGAATAACGCAATCAAATATTTCCGTTTTCACTCAAAAAATAGAAACTATTTCATTGTTTTTGGATGCTTTTGCGAGTTCTTGGATATCTCACGAAACTATAGACACCTCTCCAAAAGCCGGAGTTCCCATAGTTAGACCCCGATGCTCTCGTATCCCCAATAACAGTAGTATAAACCTTATTAGCAATAATTAATTCATTAAAAAATAATTCGCAACGATTAACAAGCTCTTGTGTCCTATGGCTCGATTTTAATTTCTCGCTCTTCGTAGGAAGAGAAAGAATTGTAATCGTGGGCCGGAAAACTGCGATTTTTCGCCAGAAAAGCTCCTATTGCCGGGCTTTGGTGACGACAAAGTAGATAAATCTGGATACTTCTGAGGTCTTTCATATCGAAGTAGTGTGCTAGAACAGTACATATTTTCTCGCATTATTTCTGTTCCGCTATATTATACTACTACATGCAAAAGTGTTTTCAACTAACAAATTTTTTTCATACCGGGTCTCGAACTCAGGTTCTCTGACTTTACTCGCCGTGAGCCTTTCTCAGCGATATCGAAACGCAGTAAGTTTCCATCTCGGGATTGTAGTTTTGAAACAACTTTTTGTAATATTCGAAAAAATGGAGAGTTCACAGAAAATGGAACTTACACCCTATTTTTTACCGTATCTTGATACATACGAGGAGAAAATTTAATAAAAAAAGTGGGCGTTTTTTATAAACAAAAATTAGATTGCCTATATCTGGCGCAAAAATTCAAGAAAACTACTAATATTTTCGAAAAACACTGTCCTTGTCTTTATTTCTCGGTGTGTGTAAAGAATAGATTTCGTGAAGGCAAAAAATCTCTATCTTCAATATAGTAGTTATAGAAAGACCTACCCAAGGAATTGCGCTTTTGCGGTTGTTGAAAAATCAGGGATGTCAACGATCCCGAGACGTGCACCATTCTGT